CCCGCCAATTGTTTGGCTGGATCCGTCCCTGTATAGAATTGCATAATGGCAAAGGCCTCTCCTCAGAGAAGCAAGGTTCGTAGCATGTAACAGGCGCTTTTATTTGAGTACAAGCCCTTCTCCACTCGCAGCTGAGCGTGTTGAAACGGGGTGGAGGAGGGTCTAAAGGAGCGCGTGTGCGTGTGTGAGCAGGCGAGGCGGCGCACTGGGCCTACTTCTACGGGCCGATGGCGGCGCTGCTGGCGGCCAACGCGGCGCTGTTCGTGTTCACGGCGGCGCGGCTGGCGGCGGCGCAGTGCGACGCGGCGCAGCTCAACCGCGGCGACAGCGTGCGCCACGACCGCTCCTCGCGCCTCTCCAGCGAAAAGCGCAGGTCAGCCGCCCGGCTCTCTTTACACTCGTTCAAACACAATGCAGGGGGGCGTGGTTAATCAACGCACGTGGAAATTATTATTATTATTATTATTATTATTATTATTATTATTATTATTATTATTATTATTATTATTAACGCACGTGGTTATTATTATTATTATTATTATTATTATTATTATTACTATAGGGAGATTGAGGTGAAAGGACTGGGTGATGGTAGGTGGTTTTAGGTGAGGTAGTGGGAGATATCCGTGGGATTTTGGTTAATAATTTATATTATTATATATAAATATTTAATAATGATAATGATGATGATGTTGCTCCGTGACATTATCAGCTGGCGCTCCAGCTCATGCGACTAGCTGAAGAATATATTTTCTTAGAGCGATGCGACTTTATTTTAGACCCTGCCAGAAAAATAGTTTGACCAACAACAGAGAAAGGGTCACTGACTATATCCGTCGGTGAATTGTAAATTAAGAAGGATGGCATATGTGCCCAATCAAATGCATACATTTTCTCTGTTCAGAATATTTCTTGAGCGAAATCAAACTATAGATCAATCGATGTTAAAGCAAAGGGATTTAAACCATTGCCCAAGACAACTTTTACGTTGATTTAGAGTAGTTACTCTAATAAAGGACCACTTTGACAGGTCGGGAAACAAATTAACTTTATGCAGGGCGATGTCATTGCAAAAGACACTGATGAAGCCATTTACAAATGATCTAATTGTAAACGAATGACAGAATGAATGCATGGACATAACCTGTAGTTATGTTGCCAGCAATGGCCAAGCAGTAGCTATTAAAGCGGTCCCTTCTTATAGTAATCTCTCTATAACGTAAGATACAACGTGCGCTAACGTTGAAATGCGCGCGTACGACATGGCGAGGATATGGGAGTAGTTCCAAAGGTTGGACCCGCCAATACGTCCGTCGCTTCTCTGTCCAGGTTCATTGCCAACAATATTATTTATTAAAAAGCAGCTTTCGATGGCTTAGCCATCATCAGTTTTCTGCTGTATGGAAGCCACAAAAACGACTACCATTTACCGTTATCCGTTTACCGTTACCGACTACTTGTCGTTTTTGTGGCTTCCATACAGCAGAAAACTGATGATGATGGCTAAGCCATCGAAAGCTGTTTTTTTAGTAAATATATTATTGGCAATGACAACGCATATAATTATTTCATTAGAAATGCCAACGATAACTCACCACAACACCTATATGTCCAGGTTCATCCTCTACACCAAGCTGTTCCTGTTGATGGGCGTGACGTGGGTCCTGGAGGTGGTGTCGTACTCCGCTCGCCAAGAGAACGACTCCGACGACGTCGACCCCGCCTGGTTCTTCACCGACGTCATCAACACGTTGCGCGGAGTGTTCATCTTCATAATCTTCTGTTGCAAACGCAAGGTATGTTCCATGAACACGCACAGTCACTTCCTCGAAGAGTCAGAATATCAATTTGTGAGATTGTCCACTATCAAAAGCAACGCGACAATTGGGAAGAACCAGATTGGTTTTGGTTGATTCGAAATATATTTTGAAATATACTTGAAAACTAAGAAAACTTGTTTACGTCAAAACCAAATTTAAAATTCGCGTATTCGATGGCATCGATCGATCGAATTCGTTTTTTGTAAAGGATTCGAATTACATTCGAATAATTCAATTATTTTATAAGATTCAAAGATGAACTACACTGAATTCGAAAGTACTAAGCTTCACAAATTTAACAAATCTAAAGACGCAGATAGATCCTTAGAGTAGGAATACTCCAGCAATAACAAAGAAGTTCATAAATATGTTTTCATGGGTAGTTAAGTCTTCACACTGGATAACTTATGAAGCTGAAATTGAGACATTGAACTTCACTTGGTATTTTTTACATAATTCATATACCAAATATGTTAATTCAGCGTTAAATGGTTTGAATTCACCGTGTTTTGACCATCGTTTCATTGACCCTGTGGATTTCGGGTTGCTACCGAGATCTGTCCTCTTTGTGCCTTTATGACATTCACACCCGAAGAATTTGCGTATAAAAATCATTTAAAATGTAGTGTCTAGATATTATATATTTTTAAATAATAATTGAATTGGTCGATGAAAAATTGCCCCTCATATGGGAAATACCTGGTTCGGGAAAACCAAAAGCCGATGGGTTGGTCGCGCCAGATTTCGCCATCTAGAGGAAAATCTACACAATGTCCCATTATAATAATGCACTACTTTTACGGGACATGACTTTAGCTATTGACGTGCCTGGAATCACTAATCCAATCAATCAACCGAGAACATGGTGGCATGTTTTGTCAACGGAACCCTTTTTCCTCTGTGCAGGTGTGGCAAATGCTTCGCAAGAGAGCGAGCGCCTTGGGTCTTCCGGTCGGGCTGGACGAGAGCTCGACCGCGCGCAGTCCTACCTACCGCAGCACCACATCTACACGGCAGAGCTCGCTGCTGCAGTTGTCGCCGCTGGGAGAGGCGTGGCTGACGCGTCGAGTCTCGCCGGCCGCCATCTCTCCGCTGCCCAACGGAGCGACCAAAGGCGCGCGGCCGCTGTCCCAACCGGTGCTCCCAAGCAGCAACGGAGCGGCGGTCAAAGCGCCGCGACCCAAGACCCAGCCTCCCCTAGCAAACGGGGGGGCGGTCAAAGAGAAGAGATCCCAATCCCAACCCGATATCCAAAGGACAAATGGGACGGTGCTCAAAACGCGATTTCAGATCGATTGCCCACACCCCGGCGCTAACGCACCCGAAAAAGTGCCAGAACCCCAGCCTCAAATAGAGCTCTCCGGCGTTAATGCAACCGCGGTAAAAGTGCCGGGACCTCAATCTCAACCCGAGCTCCCCAGCGCCAACGGTTGCTCGGTTAAAGCACCGGAAATGCAATCTCAACCCAGCCCTCCCAATGCCAACGGTACGGCTGCCAAAGTGCCGGACCTCCAAATCCAACATCAGGTCTCCAACGTCAACGGGGCGGAGATCGAAGCGCAAATGCCAAAGAGCCAGTCTTAGATATCCAGCGCCAACAGAACAGAAATCGCAACGCATGAAGCTACTTCGTTACCCCAGCAGTTACCAACGTAGCTATACTAGCACAAGCGCTTGGTTGGCTGCAAGAGAGGATAATTATCTTCCAATAGAACATGGAGCTGCTTCGCTCCTGAGTACGCGATAGATGCTGGAGAGATGAAATGAGGGATCAAAGTGTAAACTAGAGATAAAAAAATGACCGAATGAAGCTGTTTCGTGAAGGCGCCATACTTCACTGGACCACTGAGGGCTGTCGAAACGACATTGTCATTTGTCGTAGATTCTCATGCGAGTGCTAAAACTCCATTGTTTGACACATGAGAAAATTGTGCAAAGGTGTAACCTCGGCGTAGCTTTAATTCATATTATTGGTGGCAAGAAGCAGTAAGAGGTAGGTGTATATAAAGGCGTTATCTGGGGAACCGAAATGTCACTGTTGAGATTTCGGTTCGATGCACTCAACCTCTCTTTGTTCAAATTGTGGTAGCCACGCGATATGTTGCATAATATACTCAACACCTTATAGATATGCCTTTCGTTGAGTTTTCAAATCGCTAATAGTCTGTGATATACGCTACAAATTCCCATCAACTTTTTTCTCTCGCTTTTTTTAGCAGGAAAGAAAAGGACATGATGCATCATCACAAGAAAATATTAATAGTTAATAAAATGTGTATCGAGAATAAGTCTTAGTATTTTTCAACATCTTTGTACAAAATTTTCAACGTCAGAAAGTACAAAACTTCATCAATGAGACTAGGTGTCTAATCACCGACCTAAATTTTTACAAATGCATCTATGGCAGTTTCATATCAATTTATTAATTTGAAGTGTTTTATTATCCCAATGAAAGGGTAAAACTTCAAGGGATGAGAGTAAGGAAATGAGAATTACTGAGGACAAAAAACAACATTAAATTTTCCAAATATATGAAGTAAATTTAGAGACAGAAAATTTCAAATGTATCTTAATATATGAAGGGGACAATAAGAGAGTCAGACGCTACAACTTTACTTGTAAGTATAACTGTATTGGATAATATTTTATTACTATTACAGTTATTAATATTTTCGTCACCATTGACCCTTCATATAATAAAGAGTATTCAATGTTCATGATAACTTGTTGTTATCAATGTTACAGTTCATTGTATGCATTTATCTATGTTGTTAAATGGGGGCATATATTATTTCACAGCTGTCGCACACGAAACTTACTCCAAAAAAGACTTGCAAATTCCCTTCTGACACGAAGTTAAACTTCTATTTGTTTGAGTTTTATAATGTCCTTGATACTCGAGAATCACGAGGAGAAATTGATTTCTCCAAAACAACTAAATGAAACAATTATGTGCCAAGTACTTTTTTTAATTTTTACTGTAAAAATATTGTATATCTATATTTTTCAAATTAAAGATATAGTATAAACCCGCTTTTAAGACATTTATCTTACCATGTACTCTCCAGCCATTTATTTCTGTGTTTTAGACAAAACGATTTTTTTTAATTCATCCATTAATTCTTCTATGAATTCTGTGATTTTAGAAACTGTTATAGATTATCTGTCATTGGAAAAAATAATAATTTATTTCAAGTAAGATACATAATCTCCGGTGATACATAAACTAATATTTAGAATTTGCAGGTACTGTAGTGGAATACATCGCTTTTATTAATGGATTACATGAAATCACTAAATTATTTTTTACTTTATTTCATGGAATGGTGATAACAAAATTTTCTCGTACATATTGTGTTTTGTATACGAATCAGGGGATGCTTTTAAACAAAAATTAGGTTTTCTCCAATTCTGTAGTCTTAAAGACATTTGTAGATCACGGTCGACAGATGAATTGGCACTTTAGACACCTGTGATCTGTGGGCCGATGACAAGTTCCCAGCAACTTGCAAACTTTATGAGAAAGTTGTTTTGGCACAGCAAACTCGTTATTTCATAAAGGCATTTATTAAATTATAAAACAGTTTTATTTAACGTCAAAACTGTTAAAATTACGTGTGCCGTATGGAGAAGAATTGAAATCTGAGGTCAACTAGCGGTTAAACTCGTACCTTACAAATTTCAGTAGTAACTCAAGCATTATTGATCTTACAAATTGGGATTAGCACGGTAAGATGGTATTAAAAAGAAATAAAGTCAAATGTTTGAATAATGCTTCTGATTGA